TAGTGATGTCCTTGCTGTGCATGGCAAGAAATGGCCAATTCTATTTTATTTTCTTTATAGACTACTGTAAAATGAGAGAAAATGCAGTTTTTATTAAACTTTTAAAAATGTCTGTGTTGGGCAACTATCAAAATCCATAAAATTAATGTTTTAATGTTTTTCTTCCTTGCCTGCCCTGTGTCTCCAACTGGTGTTTAGGACCCCAGGGATGACCCTTTGGTATTTCCCATCATCTTTTATGAACTGACCACATGCCATCCGTGCATTTTGGCAAGAACAGGAGTCAAGGCACCAGAGACTGGCAGAAGGACCTTTTATTTCTGCTTCTGCTACAGAAAGAGCAGACCATGACTGAGCCCTTTGAGAGTGGGTACTGAAGAAGGGTCTGATGGCCAAAGCTGCAAGGCCTCAGCTGGCCTTGGTGCCTCTGGAGTCGCTGGCAAATGCAGCTCTGCCACCACAGAAATGAAGGACAAGCCCTGCAGGCACTGATCTCTAAAGGTTCTTGTCCAACAGCCCACACAAAGCAGGGCTGACTTCAAAGCCAAATGCAGCTTCAAAATCACCAGTGTTCAGAGAAGCTCTAAATCAGGGCAGGCCAGAGCTCTGGGGCAGAGGTTGTGGCTGTGCTGGACTGTGCACGGGAGCTTTGGGGAGAGGAGGAACACTTGTCCCTCAGTGCATGATAAAGTTTAGATTGTGGGGAGAAAGCGACAGTCACATGAAAAGTGGGAGTTTCCTGCAGCTGTTGGACTGCTGGTCCCTGCACAGCTGTTGCCCTGTGTGGGTGTGTGGTGTTTGCAGTGGGAAGTTGGCAGCGATTCTGCAGAGGCTGCAGGCACAGGCTGCTGGGAAGAACAATAATAATGGATGGAGAGAAAACCTTGCCCAGCTCCTGCCAACATCCCTCGGCAGCTGGCACGTGCACAACAGGTCTGAGATGGGGTAAGAGAACAATGAAAAGAGTCCCTAATTAAATGGGGGGAAAATTGTTTCTGAAAATCGAAATTCTCATTGTGGTAAATCTGATCCCTAATGGACCTTCCAGAGAAACCCATTTGAAGCTGCAATGACCCCTGTGGCACTTCAGAAAATCAGCATGCAGTATTTTGTGGGCTTAAAAAGATAATATTCCACTTTTTGGGCTGAAAGAGATAATGTTCCATTTTTCCCTCTATTTTTCAGTTGATAGCATCTTGATCTTAAGAATTATCAGACCAGAATTTAAGACAAAGAAACACACCTAAATGATGGCATAATGCAAGTGCAGGGATATTTGCCAGTTCTGCTCTGCATTCAGTGTTTGTCTCTGTGCTGGTTTGGCTCAGAAGCATCTCTCTGCCTTGCCAGTGCAGGTGAGAAGCAGCTGGGGAGCAGATCCAGGGAACCCCAGGCTCAGCAAAGGCTCGGGGCACCTCTTGGGATTGTCCAGCTTGTCTCAGAGGTGGCTCAAGCCCTCAGCCAGCCTCGTGGCCCCTCACTGGACTCATCTGGCGAGCTGAGCTCTGTCCCTTAGGGAGGGGACTCCCACGGTGACATCCACCTCATCTCTTTGTTCCTTGGTTCTTGTCCATGGGCCCTGAGCTGTGCCAGTGCCAGCTGGGAGCTGCAGCCACTGTAACCCTGGGTTCCACACCGACCCTCCCCTCTGCCTCTCCTGCCCTGCTGACCTCCTGAGCAGCCTGGGAGTGTCCACCAGGGCTCTGCATTCACAGGACTCATCCCAGCAGCTCCGGCTTTCACTGCTGCCGAGGATGTCAGATCTCTGGGACTGGAGGAGAGGCTGGAGCTCCTCTGGTTTGTGCCTCAGGCTGAGCACATGGAGGTAGAAACATTTCAGGTGGGGCACATTGTAGCCAACAGCCCCTGAAGCAGATTGAGGGACCCATTCCTGCTTGTTTGTTTAGTTTCTGGCACACCATGCCAGGTCTTATATTTGCCAAGGCAGGTTTTGACCCTTTCCCCTCCCAAGCCAGTTTAAAGCTCTGACAGTGAGCCCTGCTGGCTCCTGTGCTGGACTCTTTTCCCCCAGGCAGAAAGGTGCCTCCCATCAGGTGTCAGAGGATCAGGTGTTGAATAGATCATTCTGTGGTGAACAAACCCCAAATTTTTCCATTGACACCAACCTCGGAGTCAGGCGTTGGCCTGATGGATCTGCCTACTCCTATTGCTATAATTTGGTGTTTTGGGGAGAACTGAGGAAATCAGCACCTGGGCTCCTGATCCCCCTGCAATTGTCACAAGCCTCTGAAGCGTCTTTTTATTTCCCGGTGACTTCTCGGTGACCCGTTTGTGAGCGGCTCATTGTGGAGCAGAGTTCTCCAGGGGCAGTTTGTGGCACAGGGTGTAAATGTGGCACTTGGGACATGGCATAATGGCGGGATTGGTAGCATTGGATTAATGTCTAGACTTGTTGAGCAAAAAGTTTCTTCACCAAGAAGTGTTGTCAGACATTGGAACAGACAGCCCAGGGCTGTGGTGGCGTCACCATGCACCTGAGAAATGACTAAATGGTTCGGATTAGTAATTTTGGGTTAATACTTGGGTTTGACACTGACAGTGTCTCGGGGCAAGCTTACACTTGGGGACACGCATGGGCACCCACGGACACAGAGGGACAACCAGGGACACACACGGGCACCCACGGACACGGAGCAGAGTCAGGGACAGGCAGAGGCGGGTACGGTTTGCTGGCCTTTATTGGCATGGGCAGCCCCGCGGCACAGCCGCGCTCCGCGCGCTCCTCGGGCCGTGCGAGGCCGAGCCCCGCGCTCGGCTCAGCGCCGGCGGCGGCGTCTGCGGCTGGAGCGGCGGCTCCGGCGGTACCGGGAGCCTGCGGCTGCCGCTGCGGCTGCGGCTGCGGCTCCTGCGGGAGCGCCGGCGGTAGCGGGCCATGCTGCCGCGGGGGCGGGCGGCGCGCCCGCTTTTATAGCCCAGCGGGGAGCGAGGGAGCGGCAGCGGCCCTGAGGTCACAATGCTCCCGGGGGGAGCATTGTGGGGACAGAGATGCAGTCGCCGCTGAGGTCATAGTGGTCACCTGGACACGGCCTGATAGTCTGAAAAGTTCCGTGGGTTCGGCACGCACGTTCCACAACTTCAGTATGAGAATTCTTTCGGTCCTTATGATCGTTGGCTGGCGATTGTTTAGTTTTTTGGCTAGATTGCTATTGTGTTTGTAATTCCCTGATTCTATGCCAGGAGACAAAGAGGAATCATAATCAATTCCCACTGATGCTCAGACTCGAGGTGTGCTGACAATGATTTTTGCAAAACGAGGCCAAAGGATTTGTTCATCCCCCAGTCTCCACCCATTTGAGCTGTCTTTGGTGCTGCTTTGAACGGATGAACCTGGGATTCCAAACTCCTCAGAAATGCTTACATGCCTTAATTTTCTTTTTATCGTTCATTCCTTGTGTAGCCCCGGTTACTGTGAAGTGGAGAATGAATGCCAGTATCTGCACAACAATTTGTTTTACAATAAGAGACTAAACCAGAAATTTGGCAACAGCGAGCAGAGTCCTGGCACCCATTGTCTGCTTCAGCCAGGATACGTCTACCAAATATGCCTTATTTATTTAAAACTTTAGGTTAATGCCAGTAAGATTACGTATGTCATTACTGAACTGTAGCTCATTTATTTAAGGTGATGTAAGCTAGCATCAAACTTTTGTAATAAAGTTTGTAACTTTGTAAATTGCAACTACTTTTGTTGTTGCCTATTATCAGATTTGAAGCTGATTTTTCTTCTTTTCCTTTCCTTTCTTCAAGGCTTTGTATAATAAAGTTATCCTGGAGATCCGGTACCTTTATTATGCAGCAGATTTTAAGAAAAATAATGTAGGACAATGCACGTGGGATAGTGAGGATGTCATGTGCAGAGCCACTAGTTGGACTTGTGGGTCCCTTCCAACTCAACACATTACGTGATTTCGTAACTGGTGGAACAATTTTGGAATTGTTCGGTGATTAAGAAGAGACTAAAACTGAACATACGGGAGAACTGACATACGAGGAACGAGAGAATCTTTTGACAGTAGCGGCCGGGTGCCCCGGGTGCCCCGGGTGCCCCGGGTGCCTCAGCCGCCTCAGCCGCCTCAGCCGCCCTTTGCCCGCTCCGTTCCGCCCCGTCCCGCCCCTTCTCGGCCCGTCCCTCCCCTCCGTTGCTCGCCCGCTTCCGCCGCGTCCCTTCCCCGGCAGTCGCCGCCATGGAGGAGGCGCTGAAGCGGGCGCTCGGCACGACGGTGCTGCGGCCGACCGGGAACGTGGGGGGCGGCTGCATCAGCCAGGGCGAGAGCTACGACACGGACCACGGCCGGGTGTTCGTGAAGACCAACTCTCAGTTAGAGGTGAGGATAGGGATCGGCGCTGGCGGGGGTGGGCAGGCCCCGCGATGGGAAACAGCGATCCGGGCCTGGGGTGGCAGCGGGAGCGGGGCAGTGCCCGGCCTTGTGCTGGCCCTGCTGAGGCCACAGCTCCAGTGCTGGGTCACCTCTGAGCCCTCACACGGGGAATGGAGGGGCTGGAGCGGGGCCAGGGAAGGGAACGGAGCTGGGAAGGGAATGGAGCCCCAGGAGAGGCTGAGGGAGCTGGGCAGGGGCTGAGCCTGGAGCAAAGGAGGCTCAGGGGGGCCCTTGTGGCTCTGCACAGCTCCTGCCAGGAGGGGACAGCCGGGCTGTGCTCCCAGGAACAGAGACAGGAGCAGAGGGAACGGCCTCAGGCCAGGGCAGGCTCAGGGTGGACATCCACTCCCAGGGATCCAGGGGCAGCCACACTTCCCCTGGGAAACCTGCGCCAGGGCCTCACCACTCTGACAGTCAGGAATTTCTTCCTGATATCTAACCTAAACCTACTCTCAGCAGGAATTTCTTCCTGGAAATTGTTGTTAAGCATTGGAAGGGGCTGCCCAGGTAGGTGGTGGAGTCCCGATCCCTGCAGGTGCCCAGGGAATGCCTGCACGTGGCAGTTTTAGTGCTGTGGTGTGGGTGGCAAAGTGCAGATGGGTCAAAGGTTGGACTCGATGGTCTGGGAGGTCTTTTCCAGCCTGGCTGATTCTGAGGTGGGATGGTGTTGTGGTATTGGTGTTGTTTGTCCAGGACTTGCAGCACCATGAGATGCTGTTGTCACCTCCAAGGGTAGCAGTGGTGTAACAGTGTCTGCAAGCGTCGTGACAGGGGCTGAGGCAACCCAGCAGGCACAAAATCTTCTGCTGAGGGGGTGTGTGCCTTCTGCGGTTTTAATTAAAACTTATAATTCCCTACACACAAGAAAGAGTAAGTGATGTTTTTCCATAATTGTTCAAGCTTTTCTGCTTTGTCCTTTCAATACCTGGAATGTACTGTCGAAGGGAGATACCAGCATTTGGTAGAGATACGTACAATGCAACTCATTTCCTCAGCATGCTTTGCAGGAACAGAGATCAGGTGGAATTTACTTTAAAGATACTCTGTACTTGCGTTTATCACATAAATACCTTCAGTGGCAGAACAGGAGTCAAAACTTCTGTTTGCCCTTCATAGCAAGCAAATGTGTTTGAAAGTATGCATGCCACTATATCTATTCCAAATTTCTCAACAATTTCTGGTCAAGCTGGGGAGCTGAATGGAGGTGGTAACATGGGATAGTACAGGAAGGTTATCCTGCTTCACAGAAGAGAGCTGGAATTGCTGTAGCCCTTCCTTAGGCCTTTGCTAATTCTGTATTTAGCTGTGCAATACAGCTAGCTGCAAGATCAGGCTTGGTAGGGGGAAAAAAAAAAGATTTGGATGGATTTTCTACTCAGCAGTTTCATTTTGTGTGCTTTTGCCTGTGTGTGGATCCTGGGTGCTGATTAAAGCAAACTCTGTTGAAGTGCTGTGAACGCTGTGCTGTGCGAGCAGCAGCTGCTGTGCATCAGCAGTTCAGAGCCAAGTGTGACCTGTTAGGCAGAAACAAAGTATTGCCTGATTTCCTGTGGACTCTCTTCAGGCAACAGGACAGCCAGGGATGTCTCCCAGAGGTGGAGCACCACGAGGAAAGGGTGGGAGAGCTGGGATTGCTCAGCCTGCAGAAGAGAGGGCTCTGTGGAGGCATAATTGCACCTTCCAGTGCCAGAAGGGAGCCCAGGAAAAGTGGGGAGAGACTTTTTACAGGTAAACCTGGAGTGACAGGGAAAGGGGGAGTGGCTTCAAACTGACAGAGAGTAGGTTTAGGTCAGATATAAGGAAAAAATTCCTGACTCTGAGAGTGGTGAGGCCCTCGGACAGGGTGCCCCATGATCCGTGGGAGTGTCCAAGGCCAGGCTGGATGGGGCTTGGAGCAGCCTGAGGTAGTGGAGAGTGGCACAAGGTATTGTTTATGGATGTCTGGAGGTCCCTTCCAGCACAAACCATTCTGTGATTGCATCTTTGTTGATGTCTGCTGCAAATTGTCCTGTGACTGTGTTGCATAGAACATTTCTAAAGGAACATTCTACTTCATTCTTTCCACTTCCCTGCTTTTGCTTTTGCCAGATATGTTAAATTTCCCATGTGCTCTTTCTACAACCCCCGCCTGACTCTTGCAGAGAAGCATTTCTTCATGTGATGAGTGTCCCTGATCTCAGAGGAGGAACTCAGGAGAGTAGATTTTCCTTGCTGTGAGTAGCAGGTGCAGAAATAGGTCCCAAATTCAGAATGTCCTCCAAGCAAATGCCGCTGGTGGTGGCTTGGGTTGTGCAAGTGTGATAAGGGACATTTGGCTGCTACAGCTGATTGCCCCCCACGCCCTTCCGCCATGAGGTGAAAGAAAACACCATGGAAAACCATTCTGCTGAAAGCCCTGATGGGGCACAGCTGAAGGAACTCATACTTTATCCCTAAGCAGTTTGCACTCCTTCACTTGCAAACAGACTTTCTAAATTGTAGAGAATTCTAGAACCTAAGTCAGTTTCACTCGTTTTATGAAGTGACATCACTGTATTTGTAAAACTCCTGTCAGGTCTGGTGGAGTGGTCCTGTCTGTATCTTGTGTGTGAACAAACATTTTCTCCAACCTTTCTATGTAAGTTCTGCAAAATCAGTTGGTTTTGTGGAAGTGCTTTGTTTACCTGTCTCTGATGCTCGTAGCTGCTAATGCTTTCCCTTAATATCTGGCAGGCCAGAAGAATGTTTGAGGGAGAAATGGCAAGCCTGGAAGCCATCCTGAAAACACAGACAATAAAAGTGCCTAAACCCATGAAAGTTGTAGACCTGCCTGGGGGCAGTACTGCATTTGTGATGGAGCATTTGGAAATGCGGGGCTTGAACAGGTAAAGCAGTGTTGTCTTTGCCTCTTTTAACCAGAAATTTTGGCTGTCATGATAGTTAAATCACTTGTTTTCGTACAGGAAACTTGTTTAATTTTTTTCTAAAGTGAGTCAGGACAGCATGGGAAATCACACAGCAGAGAGCTGTACAAAATACTTCATCATGCCTCACCTAGAAAATTGATTACACATCCCAAAGTGAGTCTGGGTTTTGGTTTGTTTGCTTAGGTAATTAGTGATTTCTACAGTAAGGTTTCTTTTCACAGAAAGGAAAATGGCCAGCCTGATCACCTGTGTTGTGTACTTGCCCCCTATATAAGAACCAGTACTTTATTGCTGGGCATGAGTGTGCAGAGGCACTTCCCCAAATCAATTAATCATGATTTCAGTATTTTCAGCTCTTACCTTCATTTTGATAGTTACAAACTTTTGACCCTTCTCTGTGACAAGCACTTAATATGATGAATTCATAAGTACTTCCATTAGGGAGGTGATCATGCCCAATTTTTCATCTCTCTCTCAGAACCTCTGCACCCAGTTTAAAGCCTTGTTTATCTTCCTGCTTGTTGGCAGAGTTTATAATTCATGAAGAGCCCTCAGTGAGACCCAAGAGAAAGGGCAGAGATGTTGCTGTTTTGGGGTCAAAAATGGTACCTTTGGCATGCAGATTTCCTGTGTTAACAGGAACAAATTGAAGAACAAATTGAAAGAATTGAACAAATTGAAGAAATAAGCGTGCCTTAAACGACAGTGCCTGGAGAAAGGGAAAGTTGAGCAAGGTCAAAGGTGTAAAAGGAACATAATTTTGTTAACATGGGAGGCAACTGGTTGTAATATCTGTTTGTAGTTAGTACAAGACTCTCCTGAACCTTGTAGAGGATGAGGTTTTAGTAAAAATAGATAATAAATTAGGTCCCTGTGACTCTCATAATCTATGTTACAGAAAAGCAGCTGGAAGCGGCAGTAGAAAGAAAAAGGATCAGCCTTTTGGTTTTATTTTCCAAACACAGTTTACCAGAGTTTAAATTAAAAAAAGGCACAACATGTTGTGCATGCTTTCTTACACTTATCTTACTGAGAGTCCTTACAGAAGTGATGTCACGCAGAAATTAGATTTGTTAGTTTCTCATTGTTAGTAAATTTATGCTTTTCACTATGGTCGAGCCGACGGGGGCTCCCGGGACGAGTGAAGAGATGAGAATCTTGACTCCATGTTTCAGAAGGCTGATTCATTATATTAAACTTGGAGAGAAGCTGAAGAAAGAAGGGAGCATAGTTGGTACAGTACATAGCTGTTTGCAAATTTAACCCAGTTGATAATAATCTACAAAGCAGTTAAAATGACTTTTGCTTCTTCAGGACAAGTTCATCTTCCCCTGAAGATAGCATGAGAATAGGTTTGGATGAAACAGACCCAGGCAGGGGTTCTTTTTACTTTTGTTTGCTCTGTTTGGGTCTGTGTAAGCAAAACACATACTCAGTTTTGGACATGAAGAACCTCAAAGTACAATTTTGAAGAGCAGAATATAGCTGCTTTACATGGAACTTTAAATTTAAAAAACAACCACATTGTAACTTTAAAGAACCATTAAAGTGCAATTTTTTTTGTATTCTCAGTAGAAGCAGTGTTGTACTCTTGTGTAGTTTTAAATTTTCATTTGTGTCATAGATGCTCAGTCTTTTGTCACTGTTGTTGAATTTTTGTCTTTGGTTTGAAAGGTAAAGGTCAAGGGCAATCAGAAGTCCAGTTTGTGGATCAGTTTGGCTTTCATACAGTTACCTGCTGTGGTTATCTTCCACAGGTAGGTTGTACTTTCTCAGACTGATAGAATTTTAAATTTATCTCGTTTTCCCTTCAGTGACACAGAAGGTCAAAATTAGCATAATGGAAATAAATGAATTTTTGTGGAGCCATGAAAATGAAAAGACGTGGTTCTGCCTGCTAAGGAAGGTAGTGATTTGGGCAGCACTTAAAAGTGCTTTGGTCACTGAGAGTGCTTCAATTTCCTGGACTTCAATCACTGAGAGAAAATTATTCCCCTAATTTAATGTTTTAAAATAACTTTGATTAAATGATAATAGCATTTACTGTCCTGGATGGTACCAGCACGAAGATTCTGTGATCCTCAAAAGTCTTATTTGAAAAAGAAGCAGCTGTGCCTTTTGTGTGGTGTGGAACTGACATCTGCAGTGCTGTTCCTTCAGGTGAACGACTGGCAGAGTGACTGGGTGACCTTCTTTGCTAGACAAAGGATCCAGCCCCAGATGGACATGGTTGAAAAGAAATCAGGTGACAAAGAAGCAAGAGAACTTTGGGCACAGCTTCAGGTAGGAGCAATTGCCTTAGTTCTCATAACTGGGAGAGCTGGCGAAACTTAAATTTTGTTTTCTTAAACCAAAGTCCCTGTTTGTTGCTTTGCACCATGGTCTGTTGGTCAGAGACTCCAGTTTTTAGGGATTAAAATGCCCTTCTTCTAAGGTATAATGGCATTTGCCACATCTCCCTATGCTAACATTCCAGAGTGAATTCCAAAGTGCCTTACTGTTTGGGAAATACTGGATGGAGTTCATATTCTCATTCTCTGTAACATGTTGATGATGAGAAATGTACCTAAGCAATTCTGTTCTGTGTGCTGTCTGTTCATTCACTGTTCACACCTGATTAAGTGGCTGCATTGGCTCTTTGGGACCTACATTTTGGAAATTTGGTGAGACATCCTTGAGCTTTTTAATGCTGAAGTGTTGGTGGTTGTTGTTACTAACCCTGGTCAATATCTGAATTTCAGGGCTTTATTTTCTTGCTGAAAAACATTTAGATGACCATTCTGATGCTGTCTTTTATGAACAATGAGTTCTCTGGATGTACTCAGCATCTCTGCTGACCAGATCCTGTGTGTTTTAAATGATGGGGTTTAGGATGCTTCAAGTATGCAGATAAACCCCTACATTGCAAAGTGAATGATTGTGTAATTTACATGCTGTGCTTCTCTCCCCCTGCAGCTGAAGATACCCAGTCTGTTCTGTGATCTGGAAATCGTTCCTGCTCTCCTGCACGGGGATCTCTGGGGAGGAAATGTAGCTGAGGATGATTCTGGTCCCATTATCTTCGATCCGGCTTCTTTCTACGGCCACTCAGAGTACGAGCTTGCCATAGCTGGGATGTTTGGTGGCTTCAGCAGTTCCTTTTATTCTGCTTACCACAGTAAAATCCCCAGAGCTGCAGGGTTTGAGACACGCCTGAAGCTTTACCAGCTGTTCCACTACCTGAACCACTGGAACCATTTTGGTTCAGGGTACAGAGGGTCTTCTTTAAACATTATGAGAAACCTTGTAAAGTTACTTGCTGCTTAAGCCAATTACTTCCTTGTGTTGTTTGGAGAGCCCCATACTTGGTGGTGCAGCTGCAGGAGTAGTAATGCTAAAAACAACCTGTGTGACCCTTGATCTTGTTAAAGACCTAGAACCAGTGTCTCCTGCTGAATGCCAAGTGTAAAATAGCCATCCCTTCTTAGGATAGTTGGGGATAACTCCACGGGGGAGAAAATTTAGGAAGGAGTTTACTCATTTGCACAGTGAATAAAGGTCTCAGTGTCTAGAAAGCACATGAGACTGTGTAGGGTGATACAATTTTAGATGCCTAAAAGAAGTTGCTTGCTGCATTTTGCTGTGTCTTCCTCCCTCTCTCAGCTCTTCATGTCCAGTTGTGTGCATGAGAGCAACGTTAACAACAGAGCTGGAAAGTACAGGAGAATTATGTAACAGGAACCGTGAGAAGGGATTTGGACTTGTGTTAATTTTCACAGAGTCAGAGTGGGTGAGGTTGGAGGGGAATCACAGAATGCCATCTAGTCCAGCCTCCCTGCTAAGCAGATTACTGAGGTTTGGGTTCAGAGGCTTTTAAAGACCTCCAGGGTTTTGCTGGTTGATTCCATTGGATGCAGCCTGTGGGTGCCTCCTGGAGTGCTTGTAGGCTGTTCTGTGCTTTCTGGTCAGTGGGCTTTTATCCATGGCAGTTCTGCTTCCACCAGAACTAGCTGGCTTCCTTTTTCAGATTATGCTTTTGTCCAGTAGTGTGCATTCTTAAAGAACTTTCCAGGTAAGACGCTTTCCATGTGCACACCTTGTGGAGCTCTCTTCTCTAATGAAATAAAACCTGCACATGCTTCACATGTGTGACTAAAGTGAGTCAAAATCCACCTAATCATGAAACAGCGTCAGCTGGCACTTTGTGTTTACCACACATGTAGAGAAAACATTAAAAATATAACTTAAAAGGGGAAGGAGGGTCAGGAGAGACTCCTGGGATGGCTCACAGGCTGTAGCCCTCTCCTTTTCTACATGAATGCCTATCAGCTAATTTTATAAGGGGATACTACTGCTTGTGCTAGGGGATACCAGTGTGTTTATCCACAATAGTTTATCAACCTTATTCTGGCACAAGGATCAGTAAACCACAGTGTTTATGTCACTGGGACCACAGATGTGCCCATTGTCAAGGCTGCACTGTTTGCACATCTGTGCTCATGGGAGTTCCAGTGCAGACTTAAGAGTGCTGCACTGTTCACTCTAAAATGTTTTGTGTAAAGGTCTCCCAGGGCCTCAGACATGCCAGGAAGGGGGAGGTGTAGACACCTCTGGGCTCAGGACTTCTCTGGATAACCTGGAAAGCAAGGAGGTCTTTCCTAAACTCTCACCTGGCAGTCCCCACTAAGTGCATGCTGTGGCTGTTGTGGTAAGAGACATGAGGAAGGAGGGTGACGTGTAACTCACAGAGCAGCACTTCACCCTGTCAGAAGTCCTGGATGACAGTTCCACACACCGTGGCTTTAATATGAATTTTTGTCCTCTCTTGATGTAGGCTGGTAGTGGTGCTTCTGTGCAAGCCTGCCAGGTAGGTGAGAGAGATGCATGATATCTAACATGCCCTTTGTTGGGGAATGGTTTTATTAACTAAAACTGCTTTGCGCTGGATGCTGGCAGATTGCTGAGGGTTTTCTAGTTGCTAGTTTGGCAATTACTTATGGGAAACATATTTGGAGAAGACTGGTATTTGGTACTACTTCCCTTAATTTTACTACTTTTCTCACTGGCTGATGGACTTTTGCTGCAAAAAATCTGCTTGGTAGCCTTGTGACCTGAATAAAAGGTTTCCCAGCTGATTATTGCTGTCTCTGTTTTCTGAATTAAGGCCTTACATCTTGTTTATTCTTGGGGATTACTTGCCCTGACCTCTTAAAGATCCTTATTTGTTAGATAAATTATGGTCATCTGAGGTGTTTCTGGGAATGTGCATGGTCATGGATTGGTTTGGAATAGTGTGTCACTGAAGAAATTTGCATACTCATTACAGAGCAAGTCAAGATGTTAATTTTCCTAATAAAGGAAAGAGGGTGACGTGTAACTCACAGAGCAGCACTTCACCCTGTCAGAAGTCCTGGATGACAGTTCCACACACCGTGGCTTTAATATGAATTTTTGTCCTCTCTTGATGTAGGCTGGTAGTGGTGCTTCTGTGCAAGCCTGCCAGGTAGGTGAGAGAGATGCATGATATCTAACATGCCCTTTGTTGGGGAATGGTTTTATTAACTAAAACTGCTTTGCGCTGGATGCTGGCAGATTGCTGAGGGTTTTCTAGTTGCTAGTTTGGCAATTACTTATGGGAAACATATTTGGAGAAGACTGGTATTTGGTACTACTTCCCTTAATTTTACTACTTTTCTCACTGGCTGATGGACTTTTGCTGCAAAAAATCTGCTTGGTAGCCTTGTGACCTGAATAAAAGGTTTCCCAGCTGATTATTGCTGTCTCTGTTTTCTGAATTAAGGCCTTACATCTTGTTTATTCTTGGGGATTACTTGCCCTGACCTCTTAAAGATCCTTATTTGTTAGATAAATTATGGTCATCTGAGGTGTTTCTGGGAATGTGCATGGTCATGGATTGGTTTGGAATAGTGTGTCACTGAAGACATTTGCATACTCATTACAGAGCAAGTCAAGATGTTAATTTTCCTAATACACATTTAACTCTTCATTTTAGCAGGGGAAAATGAATATGAGGGTGGATTTTTGTCAGTTGTAGTTCTGAGATAAACTTACTGATAAACAGCAACTCTTCAGAGATAACCTTTTCCTAACAGAACTGAATCCAAATATTTTTGTGATTGAAGAAAAGGTTTGTCTACGCAAGTTATGCAGGTAGGAGCAATTGTATTTAGAGTTTAATGTAAGGATATTATGCTCAATTTTTAAAAGCTGTTTTTTCCTGTCAGTACGGTGTGAAGCAGTGTAGAGAGGCAGACAAATGGAATGTAGGAGGGGTCTCTCCTGTACCATGGATCCCTTGGCCCTGAGCCCTTCTCAGGCTGCAGAAACTGCCTGCAGATACAAATGTTGCAGTCCAGTGCTGGTTTTTCTCCTGCTTCCCATCTTCAGTGCTGTTCCAAAATAGATCTGGTGATTAAAACTGCTGCTGGGCTCTTCTAGCAGAAGTCAGAGCAGGTGGAAAGTGCTACAGAATTAGAACGTGAGGAAAAGCTTTAGGGGGAAAACTAAGCCACACCACAATCACAACAGCTTTTTTTTTTTTTTTGGGTAAATATTCAATTACTTTTGTTTTTATTTGAGGTTTTGTTTGTTTGGGTTTATTTTTTTTTTTCCCTTACCAGCTAAACAGAAAAATGAATTAGGGTTGCTTTCATGATGCAGATATAAGAATCTCTATTTCTTGTCATTATTTTGTTGCCAAACTACTTTATTCGTTTCCCCACATGCTCCACTGCAACCCAGGGTATGATTCTTTCCTTTCAGCAGCTGGAGAGCCATCTAACCAAGAACCTTATTTTACAGAGACATTAGAAGAAGTAGTATTACAGGATCTGGGTTATAATAAGATGTTTTAAAGGCTCAAAACTACACCTGAGAGTGCCAGTGCACTTTGCAAGTGCATCATATGGGTTGATCATGTTTTTAAATTCAGTATCATTGCAAAAATGGGGCTTAAATTTTTTTCTTTCTTCTTAAGAGCTATCCTCTGCACAATAAACACAGTTTTTACAGAGCTCTGCACAATAAACACAAATGACTCATTTGCAGTGAAATACTGTTAAAAATTACTGTCCTGATCTTCACCAGTACCACTGATACAATGTAAATTACAGTCAATGGTTCTGAGTGGAAACACAAAACAATCTCCCAGCCAAAATCACAGGAAGGAGAATGAGGCTCATTGTTTTCCAGAAGAACACCTAGTTTGCATTGAAGAGATTGCTCCTTTATATAAAAGGTCAATTAGCATAATCTTTTCTATAAATTTCTATACAGTTCTATATATTTGTCAAGTCCCACAGGAGCTGTAATAAATTGTTCCCAGAAACTGGCTGCATCCAAGCTTGGCTTAACGTTGTGCATGTTTTCTCCTTGTTTGGTGTAAATATTTGCCCCCTTTTTGCAGTCATTGCTTCAGACCTTTGCTGCTTGGTCAGTTGTTGCTTTATCTTCTGTTTCACCAGCTCCTACAGACAAACAAATCAGATCAGAACCTTTTGAGATTATTTAGCACTAAAGACACACAGGCAGTACTTTTTCAGGACCAGCATGAACATTCATGATGCTCACCTTGACTGTAGAAATTATGGAAAAGGTTGTTTCCTTGTAAGAAAATAACAAAAAACAGAGATGCTCTCCTCTGGACAAGGTCTGCATGGAGTGCTGTGTTTGTCAGTGCTACACCCTCAGGACTCAGAGCACCTGGAGAGGTGTGGGGTTATCTGTACTATTGTCTTTTAATACTCTTAAGCTCTAATAAACAGCATTTTAAATCCTACTTTCTAGTTCAAGTGTGTTTCCTACAGGGATGACAAAGGACCAGCAGCTCTGGGTGCAAAACACATGCCTTCCACAAAAATGTAAAAGCTCATAATATGGTAGTGCATTTCAGCAGTAATTCTTTGGTTTGTGCCTATTTATTTTTTTTTTAGCACCTTGGTTTTTCTACAGTGAAGATTACAAAAATATGAGTGGTTTTAAACAACAAAACAAGTGTGCCTAAGACAGATGGGCAGTCCTCTATTTCATCAGGGTGGTGTCTTACCTTGTTGGAAACATGCTAGAAGAAAGTTTGCAAGTCTTTGACATGTAATCTAATATAAATTCATCAAAATCTATTGCTCAGCCAGAATACTTGGTGAAAGACTCACTGGTCTTTCCACCATCACAACTTAAGTGTGCCCAAATACTGAGAAACGCTTCAGAGTAGGCAGATGTGCAGTTTGTTATTTAAATTGTTTACCATTCTTTCAGTTTCCTCTGAGATACATGAAAGTAAGTAAAGATTTGCACAAGCACAAGAAATATGCTTTACTTCATTTGAAATAGCAGATTGTACAAAATTAATGATGCTTTCTTTTCCTAGCATAGTCTGCAAGTTATGACTGCACCAATTTCCACTATTGCCATAGTTTATAGCCACAAAGCCTGTAAATATTTGTTTTTGTGATTAATTTAATAATCTTTTTATGTATTAACACGTTTTCTCCACTGACAGAAAGCTGTAACAAGATAAATGCTTGAAGCAGTATTAGCTTTAAACAGCCCAGTGGCTCTTATTGTGCAGTGCCATTATTGTGCATATTTAGTTCTGTAACTATTTTCCTGTGTTACAAATAGCTTGTTATACATATTTTTACTTTAGCTCTAACACTCAGAGGTTCAGCAATGGGCAGAAAGATCATTTTGCTCAGCCTAAAAGCATGTAAGTGCAAGCATTGTGCAAGGTAAATTAGTGAAGAACAACATTTTATATGTGGATGAGTCACTTGAAAGCTCTTCTGCTAAGTGCTTTTATACTTTAGAACAGAAATTTAGGTATGTACGTGCCATTTGGATATTGTTGTGAATTTAAAATACCTTAAAAAAAGGGAATCCAGGTGAGAAAGGCTGAATGAAACCTTGACTCAAGCATCAATGGATTTTCAGAGTATGTTGTAATTTAAAGCTGGAATCTGATGTGAAATAATCCATAAGGAAGTTAACCACCAGAATAGTCAAACTGGCTCAACATGTACATAATTTTCTATGATCTGATTTTTTAGTATTTTTATGCTTTTGGGTCTGCAAAATGCTTTAACTTAAGACCAGTGTCCCACTAATATTCTGCAGTTAGAGAAATAATTAATAATAATAACTGAAAATGCCAAAAATTAGTCAGTGATAGTTACCAGTGAAAAAATATTCAGGATAGGGCATCAAGCAGAGGCATGTGGTATTTGTAGCATGCTCACACTTGGAGCAGTTTGCAGCTCAAAAGAGTATTTTTATTTGACAGGTCTGCAGTGCACTTGCTTTTCTGAGGCTTGGATTATTTTTTGGACATTTTGGACATCTTTCAGTTACTTACTGAAAGCTTACTGTGCACAAAACTGGACAAGCAAGAAGTTCTGTGCCTAAACTAGGGGAAAACCATGCCAGTTGTGCTTTAATTTGATCCATCTCCTGCTTGCATTACACACCATGTCACAAAATTACCCCAAAATACACAAGTACAGTGCCAGCTGCTTTTATTCAGGCTCCACATTTTTCCTGCTTTGATGTGGGACATTATTTGCCACACAAAAATTATGGAGGTTCCCCACTACATTCCCTGCAGAGGCGGTTCCTCCACCTGCCAAGCCCTATTTTTAACTCATTTTAGTCTTTTCCTCAAACCTCTTCTTCCACTCAAAGTGCAGCTACTTCTATGATCAGATTTAATCAGAAGAGGGCAGCATTTCATTTATTCTGACAAAATTTTTTGTGGGGCCCTCAGAACTTTCTCTCTTTAGCTTCCAGGGCATGACATAATCAGTTTTACAAGTACTGAACACATTTTCCCTTTAGGTTACTGAAAATAATTACTGCAACCACATCACCTCGAATTGAAAGACAAGATAATATCCTGGAGGATTTTTACTGGGTTCTGGGGGAATTTTACTTTCTATGTGCATTCAAAATTGCCTGAAGTGGCATCATTTTATGCAATTGCATAGAAATACATCTCATTTACAAGCCTTCCATCTTTAGGGCTGTAAAATGTGTAGAGATGAGAGAGAGAGGAGTTTCATTTGGAAAAGCTGAAGTGCTGTGCTTCTTTTATTCTCTCACTGTGGTTTCCCCCTTATATTCCTTTATATATGTATATATATAATTAAAAAATATATATATATATATACGTATATAACTGAAAAGTGACCTTTAAAGTCTCTCATTACTGATAACTTATCACCTTTTCTGAAGGAATGAGCCCTTGGCACAGGAAATTAAAGCAGGTAGAAAAGCCTTGGAGTAACTGTTTCACACAGCAGGTTTAAATGGAAGGTGTAGGTGAGGTTTACCCCAAACCTGCTTTTATGACAGATATGTTTGAAAATGGGCTTTGTGAAATTGACATTTCATAAGGGAACATGTTGAGAGAGCTACCAAAAGGAGGGATTTTGACTTTCTGAGATGAAGTGTTGTTAATTAACTAAATAAACACAGGGGCATTCAGGTTATAAAGAGATACAAATTTTTTTTTTTTTTAATATAGTGAAACTCTTTCAGTTGTGAGAAATATTTGATTTGCTTCGTGAATGGGACAAAGTGGCCAAGCTTTGGGAAGAGGTATCACAAATGCTGAGATTAATCTTACACTAGGATTACTCAGGAAATCTTTCTGTCGCCTAACAAATCGTTTGGGAGCATTCATCTCTACAAGGATTTTCATTAAAGTACCAATTAACGAGACCTAGGGAAATTTCATGTTGAGTATTCTGGCTTCTGATGACATTTTTAAGGGAGATTTAAACACTGAAGTAGATAATCCTGACCCAAGGACACACAGAGGAGGTGGTGCAGAGAGGAGGAGAGGCTGTGCTCTGATAAGGTCTGAGGGCTGCTGCTTTTCTGGCCTGGTGGCTGGGGGTGAGGGGTTGAATTTTCCTTTTAGATTTTCCTTTATCAAAAGAGCAGTTCTCCCCACTTATTTGGGTTTGGTTGGTTTTTGTTTTCCTTTTTACCTTTGATTCTGCAGTTTCTGTGTTTATAAATGGTCTAACATCACCCACTTCTAATTTTGCCATTGTTGACTTCTTTCAGCATCTATTTCAGCCCATTTGTATCTGTGCTCTACATAAAGGACACTCAGAGAAATCAGAGGAAACTCCTTCACCTCAAGCAGCATGACAAACAAATAGACAATGAGGTAGAGCTAAAAAAGGCACAATGAGGTACAGAGAAAATTAATTAATTAATAATTAAGTACTTCACTGTGCTCTCCAGAGGAAATATTCACCTGATCAGATTGCTGACCCTATAAACCCTGCAGTAGGTGAGTCCAAAACAAAAAAAAGTGGGATGCTAAAAACTCCTAAAAGATGCTCAGCTGTAATTTCTGACAAGGTATTTTGAAGCAAAAGAGCTGCAGACAGATCTTTGTAGAGATACATTCTGTATCTGTACATTGAAAAAAATACCACTTCTGCTTTTTGATCACTTTCAAAACACTGCAGCACCTTGAAAACACAGGCTACCACATGTTCAAACAAAGAGTGTGTTTAAAGTTTTTGTGTCCAACAGTTACGTAATGGTAGTTTATAAAGAAAGAAACCCACATGGAAAAAAACCCCAATAATTAAGCAAGAAAAAAATCCTCTAATTTCTCTCATTTCCAGGGAGTCCAAAGTGAACAGAACAAACACAACACAAAACCCACAATAAAAGAATTGCAGAAACATGTCACCCCTGCCTACAGCAGATGTTCCAGATGAGCTTTGTCTGATTTAATTTGAATTCTTTATCAATTTCTTTGCCTCAAATCAAGGCCAGTGTCTCTCACACCTGCCTTGTTGACTACTCTACAGCAAGAAAAATAATCTAGATTTCACAGCCTTAGGGCCAGTTAACAGATGGAGAGAATCTCACTGTCTTTGAATCAAGATGCCCAAAGTCTGAAGTGTCTTTTATTGATGATTAGAGTGCTCCTAATAAACTCAGACATGGGTTTATGAAATTCTTTCAAGATACAGCATTTTAGAAACTGGAAAAAATAGGTGGTGGAGTCCCCAGGGCAAAACTGTAAAATATAATCCTTAAATACAGAGCCATTATTGTAACTTCCCAGTGACTTGAAGACACACAGGAACTGGTATGCTCATAAACAAAGCCATTTTTACAGCCCCTTCTTTGACTGTAACAATAATAGAGGTTCAACTGTATAAAAACGCACTGGGACGTTAATTTTTCACTGATGTGAAGTGTAATAACTAAAATATTCTTCATATAAATATACATGTGTAAAATAAACAGATGGACTAACAGACCCCAGCAGCATATTCTAATTTTTACACAAGAATGTATACACATGTACATTAAGCACATTAAAATGCTGTAAGGAATATCTTGGGGATGAAAAAAGCAAAACAATTCTGTAGTCAGATTACTGTTTGTACTCACTAAATGAATAAGCCAATGAAACTATTAAAAAAAAAAGAGATTTTTGGCATAGTGTATTTTTTCTTGCTAATAAACTTTATTTCAAAGAGGGATTGCACCATGGGTTTATTGTTTTGGTTTGACTAATGGTTAGTTCAAGGGTCTAAGTTTTAACAAAACTCAGTAACTCCTTTATACTGTCACCATTACAAGGCTGTTTAGCCTAATTTTCCAACAAAGTCTAGCCATGAAATAGAAATATTTGGCTCAGTTAAGCTGTAATGAATGTAGAGATGAAGAAAAAATACATACAAATACACTGGTAGCTTAACACTTAGCTAATTTTGGAAGCAGATAAACCTTGGAATGAGGCTGGAA